TACGTGGATATAAATATCCGGACGTTGTGAGCTGCGATTTGAACCGTACGCACAAGAATCGCTTCTGGCCACTCCCAGGTGAATGGCAGTCAAAAGTTTTCCACTTCTGCGCACGGAACCATCCTCCATTTGGCCCATGTATTCAAGGTAAAAACACAGCATCAAAAATCTCATTACTACGATTCCGTTGAAAATATTTTTATCCAGATTTTTTAAGCTTAAACTGTTTCGTCATCTGAGGCGATTTTTTTCAAAAAGTTCTTTAAGAACCTATTTTTATCTAAATGGAAATATTTTTCCGAAATATTTTGGTGAGCGTCTTCAAACATAATAAATTTTGTAATTCCTGCGGGAAAGTCGCAACTTTTTTGGTGATGCAGTCCAATGTACATACATACATACATATCAAGCCCTAACCGCCAAAAATATGTCAGCGGCATTTTGAAGAACTTTAAATTTTTATGCTCTAGGAACATTTCTACATCAAAAAGAAAATTTTGTAAAAAATATCCTTACATCTTTTTGGCGGTTAGGGCTCGATATGTGAAAATTACGTGATTGACGGAAAACTAACTCACACACGCTCGCCAGCAAAAATTTCAGTCACGCACGATCACGGAAGTTACGTGATTTTTCTCTCAAAACCGACACGACGTGTCACGTAGAAAATCACGTATTTTGCCCATGTCTAGTTTTGAATTCCGTCCTTTGAGCCTTTTGTGAGTAATATACAGGCCTTTGTACAAAGCTGAATTAAAAAAAAACAAGTAAGAGCAGCGCTGTCTTCGGCTATGCCGAAGGCTTCATACCTTTCATGAGTATCTGAAAATTTTACTTTAATAGATTACTGCATTTTAAATAAATTTTATATTTACAGAATACATAGATAGAGGAGATACATATATGTAAAACCATATCTAAACAATCAGAGGTATGGAAGATACCGTATATTGGTGCTATAAGTGATTTTCACTGCTGTGTTATCGGTATGTAAACCGGTAACACAATTTAATGGGTTTAGACTCCTACATAAAGGAGATATATCGTAATAACTGGTATCTGCACAATCAGAGGTATAAGAGATAAAGCTTATACAGTAGGGTGGAGTGAAAATTTTTTTTTTTTTAAATCGCTTTTGGCAGACCCGTAGAAAGTTGCCTTTCTACCCCAGAAATATGTGTGCAAAATATTATTTTCCTTATCGTATGTTTTGAGGTGCCCCAACGCCATTAAGTTTTGAAAAAAAAAAATGATACATTTAGAGGTGCCCCCAACATTATAAACTTAGAGAAATTCAAAATTTCTTATCGAAAAACACTAAAGTATAATATTGACAAATTAACGCTAAATCATATTCTGTGTCTTCCCGTTGGCAACAATTTGACTTTGAATAGAGCGCGGATAGGTGAGGGAGAAGAGGTGATTTCTCTGCACTTGTCAGTCGTTGCTCGAACGCTATTAAGTGAGCGCGTCGCGCGTGTTATTGTTATTCTACTTGTGAGGAACATTGATTTTAAACACTGCCGTTAAGGAAATAACACTCATGTAAGTAATATTTTCAAATTACTGTTTACAGATAAATACAATTCAGATCGTAATTAAATATTTTCGATGTGAGTTACACCTATTATTTCTCTTTGTTACAGTAAAATGTCGCAAGTCAAAACACGACAAACGACATGTTGTCCTGTGTTTGGTTTGCCAGAGAAGTTACCAGTGTCTCAATTACCAACTTATAATGATGTTATGAAGTATTACTTATTTATTAGATACGAATTAAAACCTGACAAAACAACAAAAGAGCCGACAGTTCATGATATATCCGAAAGATTGGCTACGGAAATTTTAAATATCTGGCGAAAAGCGTCGCTTCCCACTGTCAGCTTTAAGAGAGTACTACAACTTATTCGATCTTACCATGACAAGTATAGACGCTTACTAAAACCTTATCAGGACCGTCGAACGAACAAGAAATATCAAGAAAAGATAACTGAATTTGTTACTGAGTCCCAAAGGTTATTTGATATTTGCAGTTGTAAATGCAAACTTACTAACTCAAAATGTACTTGCTCAAAAGACAGCCGTGTTCCCAAGGAAGAAGTATCTTTCTTAATTGATCAAAGAACTACGAGAAAAATGATGATAGGCGGGGTAGATTTGGTTGCGACAGTAAAAAATATGAAAAAAATAAAAAGACAAGAAAAAGAATTACTGCGTAACAAAGAGATAATGGATCCTAACCAGCCGTCTTGTTCTCGTTCTTTGCCTGATGACTTAACGATCGAAAGTACCAGTTCAAGCAATAATAGCGTAGCTTCTAGCCATTATCAATCGCCAAAAAAAATAGCTGCTCCGCCATCAAAGAAAAAGGGATTAAATTTACCATCATTAGCTCTCGCCTGTGATCGTACTGGAGTCTCTGACAGAACAGCTGCTATTATAGCTTCTTCTGTGTTAAAAGATGTTGGAATTATTACATCAAAGGATCCAAGTGCTGTCATTGATCGTTCAAAATTGCGCCGTGAAAGAACGAAAGTCAGATCGGCATTACAAGATGCAGATTGCAATAAAAGTATACGCGGTATTTATTTTGATGGCAGAAAAGATAAGACTTTAGTAAGCACTCAGAAGAAAGGCAAATTTTATAGAAAAAGAACTACAGAAGACCATTATGTGATTTTATCAGAACCAGGAAGTGATTACTTCGGGCATGTTACGTGTGAGTTGGGAACTGCTAAAGGTATTGAAAGAACCATAATAAATTATTTGAGAAAAAAAATCGGTGAAATTGGATGAATTAGTTGTTGTTGGTTGCGATGGTACAGTCGTGAATACAGGTTTCAAAGGAGGTGTTGTTCGGTTAATGGAAGAAGAACTTAATAAACCATTACAATGGTTTGTCTGCCAGTTACATTCGAATGAGTTACCATTGCGACATCTTTTATTGCATTTGAATGGAAAAACTACAGGGCCTAAATGCTTTTCAGGTCCTATTGGATCTGAATTACAAAAATGTGAATCAATGCCAATTGTCCAATTTACCACCATTCCCTCCATATTACCTGAAGTCACTAAAAATGAGTTGAGTACCGACCAAAAATATCTTTACGATGTGATGACAGCTATCAGCACTGGCATTTTTTCTCCCGATTTAGCTAATATTACACCTGGACCTCTTAACCATTCTAGATGGCTTACAACAGCAAATAGAATCTTAAGATTATATGCTACTAAAACAGACCCCGAAGAAAATTTTGTGATATTAGCTACGTTCGTAATGAGAGTTTATGGTCCAATGTGGTTCACAATAAAATGTAATCCCTCATGTACAAACGGAGCTAAGCACCTGTGGCAAACAATAAGCCTAACTCGATATTTGAACGAGCCTTTACAGAAAATCATTGATAAGGTGATCCAACGAAATGGATATTTCGGTCATCCAGAAAGTATTCTTATTGCTATGCTTGCAGACGACAGAGAAATTATACGTAAGCTGGCTTATCAGCGAATTTTGAAAGCAAGAGCAGAGAATACTCAAGAGTTTCGTACTTTTAAAGTGCCTGCTTTAAACTTCGATGCCAAAGATTATACCGACTTAATTACGTGGCAAGACTGTAAGATAACTGAGCCACCTCTGACTTCTAATTTATCTGACGAAACCTTGAAAGAGATTGTCAAAAGTGGGTTGACTACGAGCCAGAATATCAAAGATTTTCCATGCCATACCCAAGCCGTAGAGCGCGTTATCAAATTGGTGACAGAAGCTTCAAGTGCAGTTTGTGGAGAAAATAAACGAGATGGTTTTATAAGGGCAAGACTATTATCACGACAGCAAATGCCAAATTTTGAAACAAAAAAACAATTTAATACTAAATAATCTACTTATTTCTGATTTTTTTCATTCCTTTATAAAATAATTTTTGTAATTTTTCTTAATAAAAAATATTAAAACAACTCATCAGGCTTTTATTTAACCTATCACAAAGTAGTTTGTTTTATAATAGACTTGAAAGTCATACAAATACTTTCATTAAAAAATAAATCAAAGCTTGTAAAAAAAAAATTTTGTTCTAATTTTCAATTGGGTTGGGGCACCTCAAAACATCAAGACAAGTAAACAATTTTTTGAATACTGAATTCTCTCATTGAACGACAACTTTTTATCGCTATTCCATTCAAAAAAAACGAAAAAAATTTTTTTTCATACAACATCACTCCACCCTATTATACAGCGTAGATTTTGACGATTTTCTCAGTAGGCTTTGTATTATTATTTATAGAATAGCTAACGAAATTTATCTGTGTTAGCAGTCCAAATAAAGCAGTTTTACGGTAAAACGGCATATCTGAACAATCGGTTGTATGGAGGATATAAATAGGTTACAGTGACCCGATCTTTGTTAATTTTACTGTAAACTTTCTGTTGGTAATTAGTGTAAATATTGCGAAATTCTCATAGATTGCATACAAACAGATGGACAGACAGACAGACAGACAGACAGACAGACATACGGATAGACGGACAGACGGGCATGGCTAAATCGACTCAGCTCGACGTTCTGATCATTTAAGTATACATTTTAATGGGTCTATCTCTTCTTATTCTGGTACTTACAAACATCGGACCAAAGTTATAATACCATTTCATGCTCATGAAAGGTATAAAAATAAGTTAAGACCTTTCTATACCAAGGTAACGATGTAACAATAATGGCCTATAAAACTGTACACTCAAAAATGTTTATAATTTTTGTACAAAGTTTGAAATGTGTATTTGTATGGTACTTGTTATATAATGCGCTAGACTTTTATAAAAAAATGTGAAACATGGAATAAACTAAAGAATTATTACCAAAACTGGTCAGAATAAAAAGTTTATATTATTTCTTTCACCACTTTACATAAATGCACTATGTATGTGCATATAAATATTTACATAAATGCAAATGTACATATGTAAGTCATAAGTTTGCTTAAGGTTATAAATATGCAAATATTACCTGAAACTTCTGCTTCAAATAAACGCAAGATAATATAAAACATAGTACAGGGATGAAGTTCCACAAAAAAGAGCTCCAAATGCTTGTACTAAACACAGCTACTAATGCTCCGACCATCATCAGGAAGATGGTGCCTGGTCCCAAGATTGTACCAACCATAAGCATTGCCTGATATGCGATGTACGGCATTGAAATAGAACTATTGTTCTTTACAACTATGTCTGCATCGGATAACAAATCAAATATGTTAGCAATAGTAGAGGGCACCCAACGGCGACGCTGATTATAGAATTCATTAAACATCTCTGGTGAATGTGTGTAAGCGTCCGAAGCGGCTGAATACTCGACGCGAAAGCCCTGCTTCAAAATCAATGTGCATAACCATCGATCCTCACCTTGGTCGTACTGAACATAATGCATGGGCTCACTTGATACCGTTGTGTACTTCTTGATCACGCTATTTTCCATAAGTGCACTGCCACGAAAGAGACTAAAACATCCCGGACTGCAGAGCACACAGCCAATGACGTGCTCTGTGGCTTTTTGGAGCCAATGGCCTATGGCATATTCGAAAATTTGGTACCATACCATGGGTCCACGTCCAACGGGGTGAATTCGTCCACAAGCTGCACCCAACTCATCTATGGCTTTCATGCGGTCAATTAAAAGCTGCACGGCCTGTGGTTGGAAATCGATATCACCATCCAATGCCAAGAGGAATGTGTTCTCCGCGATAACGGCTTTGCGCCGTGCAGATATACCTTCTAACTCCATTATTCGAAAGCCAAGTAAATAATACATGTACATAACTTGAGACCAACGCTTCTTGTGCCTGATTTTGTCTTTATTTTTCAAATGAGCAATCATTTTGGATCGACCAGGCAAAGTCCATATGAGGCGACCACCATAAGGAGTTTCAGTTTTGACTGGAGGTTTTATTTTCATATTGACACCATAAACCTCAAAACATGCCTTCTCAATGCTGATAATTAATGTTTTAACATATTCGTTCATCGGAGGATTTCGAGAATTTTCACACAACTTTTCATCCAACACGAACGCGTCATCAAAGAAGATATTTGCTAATGAGATATAGAAGTAGAAACACTATTATTAAAACAACGCGTGGGTAGAGAAAAATTCTTAGCCTAGATGTCCCTTTTTCAAAGAATTGGCGACGCGAAGTTTTATTTGAAGCTTTTTTATTTGCATTTTAATAGTTTTGGGCAAATATTTTCATAGTTTTAGGCCCAGTTCAGCTGTTAAAGTGTACAGACTCGCAGCCTATATATATATGTATGTATGTATATATCGCACACCGTGTTCAAAGAGTCACAACTCGAAATAATACGTTTGTCAGAAAATGTGAAAAACCATTTCTTAGCACATGATAATCATATGGGCAAGGGCGACTTTACCTTAGGTTTTTTTTAACAAATTATAACAAAAATGTGCTCCAGCTTTTGCTGAAAGGTAAATAAAAGCTCTGTGTACATTTGTAGTACATAATTTCAAAAATTCAAAATTTTGAGTTGTGACTCTTTTGAAGACCGTGTGCGATTTTTGGGTCATTATCAGAACGGATATTTATATTCATTAATAAAAATGAACAAAAATCCGAAATTACATATCGCACACCTAGATCTGAAGTGCGATCAACTAAAAAAAAACGCATTTTTCATAAAACATGAAACATATTACCTGATCTCTGTGCACTGCAGGAGTTTTCCGTCTTCATCATGCTCTTCAAATGTACACAGAAGAAATACGTTTTAGGGATCTTGCGTTTTAATCATATATTTGGGCTTAAATTTGGATTTTTTGAGTTATCTCTCTTTTGTTTGACAAATGTGTGTATATTTTTAAGTTATTTTGAGTTGAACCCATTTTGATGAATTTGTAGTTGATTTTCTTTTAAAGAGTCAACGTAAATTTATACTGGGCAACATTTTCAGTTCATTTATAACAATCCAAAACACAGTACACTACTCAGAAATTGTAGTTATTCGTCAGATTGTAGTTATTCATCAACCCGTGCAGACGTGTTTTTCTCAAGCTCACGGTTATCTTATTACTTAAATTTTTACATTGTGCGATAGTGATACGATTGCTCTGATCGTCTTGCTTGGACACTTTTAATACTTTATTATTATCATGTCGTGTGGATGTGGTCAAAAAGTTGACCGTAACCATCAACAAAAAATTCAATGTGTCAAGTGCAGTGTAATTTTTCATCTAAAATGTGAAAATCTCCTACCGGCTGATATTGAATATATGCAAAAGTCGAACAAGCAATATTGTTGTAAAAAATGCACAAAAGCGCGCCGAAATTCTATTCCCGCATCTCCCCCTCGCTCAACTACTCCGTCCAAAGATGTTGTCTCGGCTACCAACAACTCCGCTAATTCAGCGACCGCAAATAACTCTCCGCTGCCAGCTACTTCGGTCACCGATTGCAACAAAGAATTAACTTTGCAGGCTGTTCTCAACGAAATTCGATCTCTTAGATCTGACCATGAAAAACTATCTCAATAATTAGCTCTTTGCAAAGCGAAAAGAAATTGTTGATAAAAAAAGTTGAAGATCTGCAGATAGAAGTGCAAGCTGTTCGCCGCAAACTTTGTGATTTTGATGTCGCAGCCTCAATCCCCTCTATTGCTAATGACATAAAAGATATCCGCAACGATTTCAATAAAATGCACGAAGTTATAACTACAGCCTCTGGAAACGGGCAGGCACATGATATACACTCAACGCCGCCACTTTTACCTCCTGCTCCACCTACTTCCTATGCTTCTGCTGCTGCTCTTTCTGCTACTGCCATTCGTGCCGTTGATACTCTCGCTGCATCTAACTCACGTAATGATACCAACTCCAACAACCTCTCACTTGCTGCTTTGCGGAATTCCAATGTATACAATAAAGCGAAAAAGCAAATTTCTTCTGTTCCGTGGCCCCCTCCGCCTTCGTTGGCTGTATCTCCTAACAACCAGCCAGGGCAATGGGACAACGATGACAATTTCATACCTGTTGGCGCTAGGAATAGAAGAGCAAAACGGAATGCGAATAACACTGTTGTTGGACGCAATGAAAGTCGCGTATTGGATGTAATTGTCAATTTAAAGTGGGTACATTTGTCTTATTTCAATACCACTGTGACCGCTGAAAACATTATGAGCTATGTACATGATCACGCTGCTATTGATAAGAGCGATCTGAGATGCTATGCCTTAGTAAAGAAAGATGCCGAAATTGAAGGACTGAAGAGAGTATCGTTCAAACTTGGTGTAGCAAACAAATATTACGATAAACTTTTCGACCCATCGCTTTGGCAAGAGAACATAAGAGTACGGCCGTTCTTAAATTTTCCAAGAGAAGAAGAGAAACCGCAGCAGGCCTAGCGAACGCCAACGCTGTTAGTAATTCATCGGATGCTGCAGAATTCCTTCTCTATTATCAAAATGCTGGTGGTATAAGAACCAAAATGCTGCCATTGTTGTTGTTTTCATCGTCGGCTCTCTATGATATCATAGTCTTAACTGAAACTTGGCTTTCTGAATGCCATCATACTGCAGAAATGTTCGATTGCCAAGTGTATAACGTATATCGCAAAGACAGATGTCCCCGCACAACTGGTGTCTCTAAAGGTGGCGGTGTACTTGTTGCCGTTCGTTCGAGTCTACCCAGTAGGCAAATAACCCTGTCTTCTGAAATGAGTTCAGACCATCGTTATAGATAAATTGCATGAATTATTCATTGCAGTAAGTTACATACCGCCATTAAGTCCAATTGAATTGTATAAAATACATAGAAGTAATTGTTGCTCGATATTGAATTGTCTAAATGATAATCAAAACATTATAATATTGGGTGACTTCAATTTGCCAAATGTTAAATGGTGGTTTGATGATGACGTTAAGCAATTTTTGCCATATGATGTAACAAGCGAGAGTGAATGTGAGGTACTCGACACCTTCGCTGAGTTTAACCTCTCTCAAATTAATAGAGTTCATAATGACAAAAATCGTATTCTTGATTTAGTGTTTACTAATAATGATCTTAAATCCGACGTCGAATCCCTCTCTTCACCCCCTCTTTCAAACTCTATGCATCACAAAGCACTATGTATACGCTTTGAATTTATAAATTATTTAAAATCAGTTATTTATAATTGTAAGAACTATAATTTCATTACAGCCAAATTCACTGAGATATCACGCTCCCTGAATTCTGTTGATTGGGAATCTGCCTTAGACAAAGCTCTATTGTCACAGGCCTACGACGTATTTCGGGACAACCTGGAAGCGGCAATTGAAAAGTTCGTACCTATGAAGCCAGTAAAAAAATTTTTGTCCAAACCAGCCTGGTATAACTCTAGGCTTATTAATATAAACAACAAGAAAACTAAGGCGTACAAGCTGTATCGCAAATCGAAAGACAATTTTGAACTTTTTAAAGCCTACAGTAGTTTACAAAAAGAGTTTGACGCTCTGAATAAATTTTTATACCAGAGCTATATATTGAATTGAGAGCGAAATAAGATTAAATAGTAAACGGTTTTGGCAGTTTATAAACAGCAAAAAGAAAAACACCGGAATTCCTGATCTGATGCATTATTTGGGTGAATCCTCGACGGACGTTCAAACTATTTGTAACCTGTTTGCCTCCTTCTTCCGCTCTGTTTATGTTCCTCAGTCTGAAACCGGAACAGTCAATAATTTACATAGCAGCACACTTCTGCCTGAAGGCTTACAGCTTTCAGCTGAAGAAGTTCTAGCTGGCCTTTTGGATTTGCCAAATGACCCAAATCCTGGAGAAGACGGTTTCCCTCCTACTTTATTAAAGAACTGCGCTTCAGCGTTAGCTCTGCCTCTATCAATTATCTTTAACAAATCCCTATCATTAGGGGAATTCCTACATAATTGGAAAAAGTCCTTCATTAAACCTATTCATAAGTCTGGGAGCAAGTCGGACATACAAAATTATCGTCCAATCTGTAAAATTTCAAGTATACCAAAACTTTTCGAAAAACTTGTCCATGATAGGATTGTTTTCCAGATTTCTGGGCTCATATCGCCTTACCAGCACGGATTCATTAAGGGTAGAACCACTTCTTCAAACTTGGCCTTATTTTCAAATTTTATTTTAAAACAATTCGAGATAGGTCAACAATGCGATGTCATTTTCACCGACTTCTTGAAAGCCTTTGATAAGGTGAGTCATAAAACACTACTAGGAAAGCTGGAATCAATTGGACTTCATGCTAGCACGCTTAAGTGGCTTGCATCTTATCTTGCTGATAGGACCCAATTCGTCCGTATAAATAACACTACATCAGATGTGATTAAAGCCACTTCTGGTGTACCACAAGGCAGCCACCTGTCAATGATATTCCCGACGTTTTCTTAACATCTCGTTATCTAATGTACGCAGATGACTTGAAGATATACAGTCGCATTGAAAACACGTCCGACTGCATTAAACTTCAAGATGACTTACTCAGATTGCAAGTATGGTGTGATGCTAACTGCTTACCTCTCAACGTTGGTAAATGCCAGTATATGTCCTTCAGTAGACGTAAAGTGACAATTTACTATCATTATAGGTTGGGCTCTGCCACTCTCACTAAAATTTATGAAAGGAAAGATCTGGGGGTCATCTTTTCTTCGAAAATGTCCTTTTCTAAACATATAGATTTGATGATAACCAAGTGCAGGTCTATGCTCGGCTTCTTAATGAGAAATTCAAATGAATTCCGGGACCTTTTCACTCTCAAGAGCTTGTATTTTGCATTTGTAAGATCCAATCTTGAGTATTGCAGCATCGTTTGGGCTCCTTTATATTCGGGTTCATCCTTAAGGATTGAGAAGGTCCAGACGCGCTTTACTAGATATGCCATTCACTCTCTGAATTGGAATTGTAGTACGCCTAATTATAAGAGTAGGTGCCTTATGCTGGCATTGCCGACATTACAAATGCGTAGACAAATTTCCTCGATAATGTTTATTAGGGACATAGTCACGAGTCACATCAATTGCAACTTCTTGCTTGAGCTTATTCATTTCAATTGTCCTGCTCGGGA